GAATTGCATTCTCTTGTTTTCTTTCTTTCTCTGTTTTACGTCTCAGTTGTTACTGCTCGCTGAAGAGAAAAAGGATGACGGTCGGAGGTCGTAGCCGCCTTATATACTGTGGGCCTGCACGCCCATTCAGGTAGGCTCGCCCCGATTGGCCGGCTACGTTTACGTAACTCAGTAGGTGAATGCACGCACGACATGATAGAGAGTTGTACCCATAGAGTCCAGTAGAGGGCGGAGCCTGTGTGAGATATAACTGCATGCTGCTGCAAGTAGATCTGGCACTGAGGTGAGAGTGAAGGGGGCCTATATACCAGGGTTGCCAACTCTCACGCATCTGGCGTGTGACACACGCTTTCACTCTCAATCTCACGCTCTCACGCTGCCCAAACTATTCTCACGCCAAAAACAAGAATACGAAGACTAGAAACGGTTTTGAAAACTTTTGTCACGTAGTGATCGTCTTCTCAATAGAACATCTTTGATAATGTCTTCTGGCCAATCAGAATCACGATAACGGCGTGGTGTTGTTGCAGGAAGTCCCGACGAAGAATACTTTTGCGGTAGTACATCTCTATACATCGATACAACATTACGTGTTGATAGAAATCAACACGTAATGAAATAAGACCCCACGGTTTGATGATTGATAGGCGTGTGGGCTGTCTTTCATTTTGACACACAGAACAATGGGGGCTATCCACCCTTATCCACAATGTAAAGTAATTCACACAGCCTCTTCCCTCTTCTCTCTGTGAGGAGCAGCACTGCTGCAGCAGGTTCAGCTTTCAGAACAAAGTAACAAAAAACTAATATGGCATTCATTTTTTTAAATGTGTAGTAATAGATTTATTTATTTTTCTTCTCAAGAGAGTACCAGAATGTGTATTTTATGTTAGTATTTAAAAAAATCTCCTGGGGGAGAATCCCCCCAGACCCCCCTTACCTGCAGGGGTTGGGTTTTCAGCATGTCAACTCTTTCACCTGTGGGGAAATTGCAGGATTGGCTCCAGGTCGCCCTTTTTATTTACTACAAGACAAATGTGCCTTTTTATTTCATACAGTTCAATTTGGATGGAGACAGGGAAATAATCTAAACCTCACACGTGGCGTTTCACTGTCGGGGGGAGCGTGTATGTAATTACATTGCAAATACTGACTTGAGCCCCACCACTGTATGGGTTAGCCCTACCATAGATTACCCAACAAAGATACTCTGGAGCGCATGCGCAGATCTAAGATCCAGTAGAAATGATAAAAAAGTAAAAGTCTGCTGCTTATTGTTCTACTAGGCCAAAATAGAGTCAAAGAGTATATGAGAGTGAGAGTGTGTTAATTAATATATTTGGCAGTTTGGAGTAAGTCTGTAGATTTGTTTGTGTGTGTGTGTTTCATGTATAGGCCTCTCACGATAATTAATTTTGTTGGATACATTTTCCTGGAAATTATTGCGATAAACGATAATATTGTCGGCACCGTTGTATGACCATTTTAGACCACTGACATAATGATAATATATAATAATAATTCAAGTACATCCTTTCAAACTGCTAGTCACATCCTCATGTAAATGGGAATTTATCGAGGTCATTTTTATTTATCGTACGATAAGTCAATTAATTGCTTATCGCGACAGGCACACAATAAAACAGTGGAAACAAACATTAGTGAATGAAACTGTGTGCCCTTTATAGTCTGTGTCCATTATTGTGTATTTGTATATATTGTATATATATCCTATATATATGCTAAGGTCCCGCTGCTGACACGATAGCAGTCATTTCGTGCGCATATGTGTAATTAAACCGAATTAAACCCATGATATCAAAATCTCACTCCAGCCAGGTACCCAAAGTTGGCAACCCTGATATACTAGTGGAGCTAATGGGTGTAACAGAGTGTGAGAGAGAAACAGGGTGTGACTACCATGTGACTAAGGTGATTGATAAATGCTAATGCAGAAAATAGGTAAGTGAGGGAGCAGACTGTGACATATCTCAATGCTTCAGCAAGTCAAAAGCAGGAAAATATGTTCTAATACACTAGGACATCACGTAGGCATCATGTAAGCGAAAGTAACCTTAATGTTATGAAATAGCACTGGAGCCAAACAAAACACTAGCAAAGGTAGAACAAATCTGAACCAGTATGAAACCAAACACCCTACATTTAGCAAGAATGCTGCAAGGTGACAATACAATACTAAAAATAGAAACACTACAACTATCACAAAAGCCTTTCTAAGGCAGTGGTTCTCAACTGGTGGGTCGCGGACCCATTTCGAGTGGGTCGCGGATGTGTGAGGGAAGAAAAAAGAACTTGAAAAGAAAATGAAGGAAATTCTTTTTTTTTTAACTTTCTTTGGGAAAAAAAGTCAAACTTGTATTTTGAAGGCCCGAGGTTCTAACGCTGTGCATGCAGTAGGCGTTGGACTGGAAGTACCGGACACCATAAACGGTTTTGAAAACTGCTGTCACGTAGTGATCATCTTCTCAATAAAACATCTTTGCTGATGTTTTTTCGAGTCTTCTGGCCAATCAGAATCAAGATTGTTGCCGGAAGTCCCCACGGAGAATAACTTTGCGGTAGAACTACTATTTATACATCCATGGGTACAACTTCAGATAAAAATGAACACATAATGAACTTTGACCCCCGGTTTGATGATTGACAGGATTGACATATTATTAATATGTCAGGTAGTAATATATATATATTTTTTCTTCTCAGAGAGTACCAGAATGTGTAGTTTATATGTTAGTATTTCTAAAAATGTCCCCAGACCGAAGCGGAGCGCACAGGAGACAACCGTTTCATTGCAGACTGTTATGTTTATGTGGGGAAATGGCAGTGCATACATTATTTGAGATACATTTCAAACTCGGACTTCATTTTAGGGACATTTCGGCCAGAGGTGTAGAGCTATTTGTTTAAGCACCGGATTCGCAAAACAGCCTGCCTTGATCCATGAATTCATGTCCGTGACTCTCACAGTATCTGCTATCTGCACGCAGAGAGCTGTCTTTTACGCGCCGCCTTCACTGTGTTTACCTTCATTAGAACAGCTGAATAGAGATCGAGGCTGCTACGTTTTAACCACACACACACACACACACACACACACACACACACACACACACACACACACACACACACACACACACACACACACACACACACACACACACACACACACACACACACACACACACACACACACACACACACACACACACACACACCTCTACACACATCGAACTTCCCGATGATTCCCCCTATTACTCGTTTTATGAAGGAGATGTCCGGTCACCAGGGCGCATGATGTGTAAATAACCCAATTTGTGTTCTGTGAAACTGAAAAGGATATTACATTGTTTTTGTTACTTCCGTTGCAGTTGTTTGTCTTAAATGTCATTTAGGTTAACTTCCTGTTTTATTTAGATGCTTTTATTTTTGAAGGCGAGTTTACGCTGTTGACAGGAAGTTGTTGTTGCTATGGAAACAACGTGACGGAGAAAAGGAGCGGAGAACCCCAAAAAGGGCCTCTTTAAAGAATAGTATAAATGCGTAACTAATACACTAGCATATGTTATCTATCCAAGAGCAATATATTGTTAAACATAGCATAACCAATTTCAAAATACTGACAGTTTATTGCATTACCTTTATTTTTCCTGTTTCTATGTTTCCTGATTCTACCTGCTTACAGTAGTAAGATTGTTGTCGGAGTGTCGATTGCATTTATGTCAACATTTCTAAAAGTGAATGAAGCCTCTTTACCTTATAGAATATAGATGTCTTACCCACCCCTGGAGGTTGAGTTTACACAACTTATATTAAATCAGCTGTTCCTCGTGTTTAAATTACCTTTGTGTGGCTGGTTGTACTATATGTGGTATTTTGATGATGGTTTGAAATGTAAATTATAGTGGGCAGTGTGTAAACAAGAATTTGTCCTGAAATAAATCAAAGCTCAATATAAGTTTTTAAAAGGATATAATATTATATGACCGAAAAACAGGAAGACCTTTTTGCTGTCATTTCGACAATAGAAAAACAGTATTGTCCAAAAATTACTTGAACAGTAGCATCTATACAAATAGTATCAACGACACCAACATAATTATTCTTGAAACATTTTATTTTAACAGAAAATGTGTCTTCTATGAACGAATAACTACATTTATTCTTGATTAATTAAGAAATAGAAAGAGTCTTAACATTAACAAAGACTTACAGTAAGTAGCCACAGATATTACACTTGCATCGTGTTCTGTTATTGACTCCTAAGACAGTTTCCTTAATTACCCAAACATTAACCAACAATTATATATCAGTATTGTGTTGCCATCTGTAAGTGGTGACCTTCATATTGTTTAGGAAATGTTGAACAGGATGAATGCCAACAATGGTGTGCATGATGTTTTCCTCGTTCTCAAACCTTTCTGGAAATGATGCTAATGTTCCAAATTACATAATACAATGGTGTTCGTGCATGAGGGACAATTAAGGAAAAAGTTCTCTTCACACAAATTTCAATGATGTAAAGGATATTTTATTGTTTGTTTCCTGGTACAGAAAGATTCACACAAAGCATGTTCAAGTGAGTATAGTGTTATGTAATCCCACTGCCTGAGTAATAGGAAAGAAGAAATATTTGATTACAAGCAGAACATTTAAAGTGAAGGTGGATTCCCGTGAGACCATCAAAAAGTCAAGACATCGTAATGCGAACCCCTCTTTTGTTTACATTAGGGGTTATGTATCAAGCTGTTATTTATATCTGAATGTATGAAATACATAATAATACAGTTGAATCTGGCTTTGATCTTATGATGATTTCCAGTGGCGTCGGATCCTTTAGTACTCCTTAAAATTCAGGATGATTTGGTCATTTTCACTCGGAATGAAACATCCAATACCTGCAAACAAAAATATGATATAAATTGATTTTGAATATGATAGTGGAAGTTGACTTTAAAAAGAGAAAAAGCAGCTTGACTCACCAACATTAAGTCTGATGGTTTCGTTGGCTTTTTTGACCAGCAGCTCCCAGTAAGTGCGTTCCTTTGTACTGCCTTTCAAACCATTCACACTCTGCAGATATGGGCCGTAGTTGGGATCCTCGGTGTAGGTGAACCTGCAGGGACGACAGGACATATCTCAATGAAGGACATGGAATACACAACATTATTATATATCTGTTTAGATAATTGCTTTTGACAGAGAAAACAGTGGTGAGTTAAACATTTTATGGTGAAAAGTAAGAAGAGTCGTAGAAGTATGAAGTATCAGTGCTTCAAAATTGTGCTTAACTACATTACTTGAGTGAATGTTCTTTGTTACATTCCACCACTGGTTATAATTGAAAAGGGCTCGATTCGTGCTTAAAGCTGATGTGATGATCTTACCTAAACCCTTTGTTTGTTTCCTGCAGTCTCCTCATTCCTCCCAGTAAGATTCCTCTGTAAACCACACACGTGCTGTAGGTCTTGTTGGGAGCGTTGGTTACAGAGTTTGACACCAGGATCCTGAAGGGAGTTACACAATCTTGAAAAAAATGAAGTCATAGTTAGTACACAATCTAACAAGAGAATACACAACATACAGGAATACAAAATGTATTGTTTTTAATGGCCAGAATCAGAAACCCTAACCCTACTTCCCGTATCAAGGAAATATCTAAACAGCGGCAGAAGTACAGTGCAGATAAAAAAAAGGAAAAAGAGTAGATTTATATATTCAATAAAAAGGCAAGCTCATGTTATAACAAATACAAACAAATGAGCAAAAACAAATGACTTAACAAGGGTAAAAGTAGTATTTAAAAAGTAAATCAATATATAAAAGTATATTGAGCCGGAAACGTTAACAAATTGTAAAGTAATAAAGTGTTAACTGCACATAATAAGTGTATAAAGAAGTGGTATTGCATACACTTTTATATTGACAGGAACTGTTATTGCACATCAGTGATATTAAAGTATTTGTTGATGTGGTCCTTTAATAAAAACATGACAAATGATTTTTTTCTGCAGCTCTTACTTGGAGTTGGTGCAACTTCAGCTGAAATACTTTCAGTTGAATTGCTTTCAGCTGAAATACTTTCATCTGAATTGCTTTCAGCTGAAACACTTTCATCTGAATTGCTTTCAGCTGAAACAATTCCATCTGAATTGATTTCAGCTGAAACACTTTCATCTGAGTTGCTTTCAGCTGAAACAATTCCATCTGAATTGATTTCAGCTGAAACAATTCCATCTGAATTGCTTTCAGCTGAATCACTTTCAGGTGAGTCCTTTCTAGCTGGGGCCCCAGGAAGCAGCACCAGCAGCAGCAGAGCCACAGAGAGGAAAGCAGGGGTCATCATTCTGACGTCGGACTAAACCTGAGAAATAATGCAAATATCATTACAAATGCCAAGATCTTTCCCAAAAACAGAACCACCTTGTGTCAAACAGTCAAAACTATCTCTACTGTAACATACCTGTAGGAGTTCTCTGAATCTTTCTGAAGAAGCTCCTGCTTAGTCGTGATGGAGGGACTCCTGGTCAGTATCATTTATAGTTCTCTTCCACACCTCACATTATACTGAAGCAACCAATCACCACCTATCAGGCTGATATCCAGCTGAGTCATTATACATTTCAAAATGTTCTCACAGTCACAAGACAATATGTAAATTCATGAACAATAGCCACATTCAGCGACAGTGACACGTCATCAGGAAATAAAAATCTCTTCCTTGTTTGTTGAAAACACAGTGATGTGTGACTACCATGTGACTAAGGTGATTGATAAATGCTAATGCAGAAAATAGGTAAGTGAGGGAGCAGACTGTGACATATCTCAATGCTTCAGCAAGTCAAAAGCAGGAAAATATGTTCTAATACACTAGGACATCACGTAGGCATCATGTAAGCGAAAGTAACCTTAATGTTATGAAATAGCACTGGAGCCAAACAAAACACTAGCAAAGGTAGAACAAATCTGAACCAGTATGAAACCAAACACCCTACATTTAGCAAGAATGCTGCAAGGTGACAATACAATACTAAAAATAGAAACACTACAACTATCACAAAAGCCTTTCTAAGGCAGTGGTTCTCAACTGGTGGGTTGCGACCCAAAAGTGGGTCGCGGACCCATTTCGAGTGGGTCGCGGATGTGTGAGGGAAGAAAAAAGAACTTGAAAAGAAAATTAATGAAATTCTTTTTTTTTTTCTTTCTTTGGGAAAAAAAGTCAAACTTTTATTTTGAAGGCCCGAGGTTCTAACGCTGTGCATGCAGTAGGCGTTGGACTGGAAGTACCGGACACCATAAACGGTTTTGAAAACTGCTGTCACGTAGTGATCATCTTCTCAATAAAACATCTTTGCTGATGTTTTTTCGAGTCTTCTGGCCAATCAGAATCAAGATTGTTGCCGGAAGTCCCCACGGAGAATAACTTTGCGGTAGAACTACTATTTATACATCCATGGGTACAACTTCAGATAAAAATGAACACATAATGAACTTTGACCCCCGGTTTGATGATTGACAGGTCACAGAACAATGGGAGCTATCTACCCTTACCCACAATTTAAAGTAATTCACACAGACTATCTGTCTGTGTGGAGCTGTCAGAACAAAGTGACAAACAAACAATGGCATCAAATATTATTAATATGTCAGGTAGTAATATATATATATTTTTTCTTCTCAGAGAGTACCAGAATGCGTAGTTTATATGTTAGTATTTCTAAAAATGTCCCCAGACCGAAGCGGAGCGCACAGGAGACAACCGTTTCATTGCAGACTGTTATGTTTATGTGGGGAAATGGCAGTGCATACATTATTTGAGATACATTTCAAACTCGGACTTCATTTTAGGGACATTTCGGCCAGAGGTGTAGAGCTATTTGTTTAAGCACCGGATTCGCAAAACAGGAGAGTCTGTAAACCAGCCTGCCTTGATCCATGAATTCATGTCCGTGACTCTCACAGTATCTGCTATCTGCACGCAGAGAGCTGTCTTTTACGCGCCGCCTTCACTGTGTTTACCTTCATTAGAACAGCTGAATAGAGATCGAGGCTGCTACGTTTTAACCACACACACACACACACACACACACACACACACACACACACACACACACACACACACACACACACACACACACACACACACACACACACACACACACACACACACACACACACACACACACACACACACACACACACACACACACGATTCCCCCTATTACTCGTTTTATGAAGGAGATGTCCGGTCACCAGGGCGCATGATGTGTAAATAACCCAATTTGTGTTCTGTGAAACTGAAAAGGATATTACATTGTTTTTGTTACTTCCGTTGCAGTTGTTTGTCTTAAATGTCATTTAGGTTAACTTCCTGTTTTATTTAGATGCTTTATTTTTGAAGGCGAGTTTACGCTATTGACAGGAAGTTGTTGTTGCTATGGAAACAACGTGACGGAGAAAAGGAGCGGAGAACCCCAAAAAGGGCCTCTTAAAGAATAGTATAAATGCGTAACTAATACACTAGCATATGTTATCTATCCAAGAGCAATATATTGTTAAACATAGCATAACCAATTTCAAAATACTGACAGTTTATTGCATTACCTTTATTTTTCCTGTTTCTATGTTCCTGATTCTACCTGCTTACAGTAGTAAGATTGTTGTCGGAGTGTCGATTGCATTTATGTCAACATTTCTAAAAGTGAATGAAGCCTCTTTACCTTATAGAATATAGATGTCTTACCCACCCCTGGAGGTTGAGTTTACACAACTTATATTAAATCAGCTGTTCCTCGTGTTTAAATTACCTTTGTGTGGCTGGTTGTACTATATGTGGTATTTTGATGATGGTTTGAAATGTAATTTATAGTGGGCAGTGTGTAAACAAGAATTTGTCCTGAAATAAATCAAAGCTCAATATAAGTTTTTAAAAGGATATAATATTATATGACCGAAAAACAGGAAGACCTTTTTGCTGTCATTTCGACAATAGAAAACAGTATTGTCCAAAAATTACTTGAACAGTAGCATCTATACAAATAGTATCAACGACACCAACATAATTATTCTTGAAACATTTTATTTTAACAGAAAATGTGTCTTCTATGAACGAATAACTACATTTATTCTTGATTAATTAAGAAATAGAAAGAGTCTTAACATTAACAAAGACTTACAGTAAGTAGCCACAGATATTACACTTGCATCGTGTTCTGTTATTGACTCCTAAGACAGTTTCCTTAATTACCCAAACATTAACCAACAATTATATATCAGTATTGTGTTGCCATCTGTAAGTGGTGACCTTCATATTGTTTAGGAAATGTTGAACAGGATGAATGCCAACAATGGTGTGCATGATGTTTTCCTCGTTCTGAAACCTTTCTGGAAATGATGCTAATGTTCCAAATTACATAATACAATGGTGTTCGTGCATGAGGGACAATTAAGGAAAAAGTTCTCTTCACACAAATTTCAATGATGTTTGAATGATGTAAAGGATATTTTATTGTTTGTTTCCTGGTACAGAAAGATTCACACAAAGCATGTTCAAGTGAGTATAGTGTTATGTAATCCCACTGCCTGAGTAATAGGAAAGAAGAAATATTTGATTACAAGCAGAACATTTAAAGTGAAGGTGGATTCCCATGAGACCATCAAAAAGTCAAGACATCGTAATGCGAACCCCTCTTTTGTTTACATTAGGGGTTATGTATCAAGCTGTTATTTATATCTGAATGTATGAAATACATAATAATACAGTTGAATCTGGCTTTGATCTTATGATGATTTCCAGTGGCGTCGGATCCTTTAGTAGTCCTTAAAATTCAGGATGATTTGGTCATTTTCACTCGGAATGAAAGCTCCAATACCCGCAAACAAAAATATGATATAAATTGATTTTGAATAAGATAGTGGAAGTTGACTTTAAAAAGACAAAAAGCAGCTTGACTCACCAACATTAAGTCTGATGGTTTCGTTGGCTTTTTTGACCAGCAGCTCCCAGTAAGTGCGGTCCTTTGTACTGCCTTTCAAACCATTCACACTCTGCAGATATGGGCCGTAGTTGGGATCCTCGGTGTAGGTGAACCTGCAGGGACGACAGGAGATATCTCAATGAAGGACATGGAATACACAACATTATTATATATCTGTTTAGATAATTGCTTTTGACAGAGAAAACAGTGGTGAGTTAAACATTTTATGGTGAAAAGTAAGAAGAGTCGTAGAAGTATGAAGTATCAGTGCTTCAAAATTGTGCTTAACTACATTACTTGAGTGAATGTTCTTTGTTACATTCCACCACTGGTTATAATTGAAAAGGGCTCGATTCGTGCTTAAAGCTGATGTGATGATCTTACCTAAACCCTTTGTTTGTTTCCTGCAGTCTCCTCATTCCTCCCAGTAAGATTCCTCTGGAAACCACACACGTGCTGTAGGTCTTGTTGGGAGCGTTGGTTACAGAGTTTGACACCAGGATGCTGAAGGGAGTTACACAATCTGGAGAAAAATGAAGTCATAGTTAGTACACAATCTAAAAAGAGAATACACAACATACAGGAATGCAAAATGTATTGTTTTTAATGGCCAGAATCAGAAACCCTAACCCTACTTTGCATACACTTTTATATTGACAGGAAGTGTTATTGCACATCAGTGATATTAAAGTATTTGTTGATGTGGTCCTTTAATCAAAACATGACAAATGATTTTTTTCTGCAGCTCTTACTTGGAGTTGGTGCAACTTCAGCTGAAATACTTTCAGTTGAATTGCTTTCAGCTGAAATACTTTCAACTGAATTGCTTTCAGTTGAATTGCTTTCAGCTGAAATACTTTCAACTGAAATACTTTCATCTGAATTGCTTTCAGCTGAAATACTTTCATCTGAATTGCTTTCAGCTGAAATACTTTCATCTGAATTGCTTTCAGCTGAAATACTTTCATCTGAATTGCTTTCAGCTGAATCACTTTCAGGTGAGTCCTTTCTAGCTGGGGCCCCAGGAAGCAGCACCAGCAGCAGCAGAGCCACAGAGAGGAAAGCAGGGGTCATCATTCTGACGTCGGACTAAACCTGAGAAATAATGCAAATATCATTACAAATGCCAAGATTTTTCCCAAAAACAGAACCACCTTGTGTCAAACAGTGTTATCACCTGGCTCAAAAAGCCACAACAAAGAGGAGACACACCATGTCAACGGTTAGCAAAATATGTTTATTTACACAAGCAATTCAAATCAACCAAATTAATTAAGTGCCAAGTAAGTAAAGTATAAGGTGTGGACGTCAGTGGTATCAGTAGTGTAAATGCAGGGTGAGGGTTGCATGGACATGTATGAGTGTGAGGATGTTGAGGTGCACAAAGTGAAGCAACTGAAATAATTGATAGCATACTCAACAGAGCCGGATGCCTGCAGGAAAAAGCAGAGAGGAGCAGAGAGGCTTTAAATAGCTGCAGGGCACCAGACCCAGGTGCCCTGAGTTACTACAATCAAGGCGGCTGGATGCAGCACAGCCACACCCTCTCAAGATGAACCCACAGGGGCATCACAAACAGTCAAAAACTATCTCTACTGTAACATACCTGTAGGAGTTCTCTGAATCTTTCTGAAGAAGCTCCTGCTTAGTCGTGATGGAGGGACTCCTGGTCAGTATCATTTGTAGTTCTCTTCCAAACCTCACATTATACTGAAGCAACAAATCACCTATCAGGCTGATATCCAGCTGAGTCATTATACATTTCAAAATGTTCTCACAGTCACAAGACAATATGTAAAATCATGAACAATAGCCACATTCAGCGACAGTGACACGTCATCAGGAAATACAAATCTCTTCCTTGTTTGTTGAAAACACAGTGACGTGTACGTGTTTGTGAGTGTGAACCAGTTTATGATTATTGCAGAAATGTATCATTAAGTCTCATTTAAGTATCACTGTAACTTCCTTCTCTGGTTTGATTTTCCCAGTTTGAATTCACATCTCGCTACTAAATATTCACTTCCCATTGTTAGGGTTGATATTAGGGTTGTAATTACCATGTATGCAAGTTGTGCCCGCCTGGCCAACATTTCTATAGCCTGTACTGTTAATTGCCTATGCAGTATTACCCGTCTGGCCAACACTTCAATAGCCTGTAATAGCCAAAACCTTGCTTCAAACTTCTATTATTTGTTCATTTCTTACCAAAGAGGTTGCTTTTGTGTGGAAGTTCCTCCACAATGATCAGTTCAGAATCAGAAACAGGTTTGTTTTCAAGTAGGTTAACACCACACATACAATGAATTTATTAATTTTTTGGAAAACTATAAAAGTATTTAAATTTAGCAATATTTACATTGAATATGGATAAAGTATAGGTATACCCGTAAACATTTAATTTAATAAAATAAAATATGTGCAGTAACAATGTGCGTTGTGCAGAATTCGGAGGGTTGGAAAGGACTGACAGTATTAGGATGAACAAGATATTGTTAACATTGTGTGCATTAATGTAATGCATAGAGTCTGCGTTGTGGCTGAGGTAAAGTGTCAGTGGGGGGGCCGGGCCTTGTTGATGAGGCCGGTAGCGGAGGGGAAGAAACTGTTCAGGTGAGGTTTTTGCCCTTCTTATATGTTCACATATGGAAATAAAACACAAATAGAAATATCATGTCTTTGATAATTCACTATAACTAAGTTCTAAATGTGTCCTCTGTTAAGATTTTGAATTAAGACCAGAATTGAATAAATTAATACATTATTTCTGATAAAAGTATGTGAAATTATATCTCTAGCAATATTTTAAACTCTACTTGTATCTTATCAGTTAATTAGTTACAACAATTAATTTAACTCTTCTCTGGTTTTGGCAGAAACAGTTCTTTCTGAAATGTGTTGGGACACTTGGATGTATCCCTTTGTTGTATCTTGTGATCAATAAGTGTATGTCCACAACATAGGAGTAGATTTAACTGGTTTTACTTTGGTAACATGCTTCCGGGACTTCCTCCTGGGAACATGTACAACAGGCTCTTTTAATACCAAGAGTGAGTTTGCCCCCTGCTGGACAAATGCAATAATATGTAATAATAACACAAGGTAAGATACCACATTTCCCCCCCTTTAAGCTAACAATACTTCCCGAAGGTGGGGGTATAACATACTCCCGTTACACAACATTTTGAGGTACTGGCATAAACCATTTCACTTTCAAAGATTAACATTCTAAACCTTTCCTTAAAGTGAGATCAGAGAACTATGCTGCTCTATTAATGGAACATCTCTTGATCTATTTAACAAAGTCTTTCAGGTATACAGGTGGCTGTCTCTCGCGCTCTGATCGTCTCACCACGGGTGTAGCAGGCAAGTCCGGCGGGACCGGAGTACACAGAACCACTGGCTCACTTGCAGGAGATCCTTCTTGCTCGATTGTCACTGGAACCACAGTGTCTCTGTTGGAGTCCAGCACCGGCTCTAAGGGCACGGTGTCTGTTAATCTGGCTCTTACTTGATCCACATGCCGCTTCACGACTTGACCACTTCCAATGATCACTGTATATGACACTGGACCTGATGAGCTCTCGATGACCGCAGCGATCCATTTAGGTCCATAAGAGTAGTTTCTGATGAACACTTTATCCCCAGGTGAGAAACTTCTCAGTTTCCTGTTTGTGTCATGGGACTGTTTCTGTTTTAGTTGTTTTTGCTGCACTCTTGTTTTCACATCTGGCAGGAGCAGGTCTAATGCAGATCTGAGTCTCCTTGACATCATCAACTCTGCAGGCGACAGGCCTGTGGTCGCGTGAGGTGTGATACGGTAACTGAACAGAAACCTTGACAGTCTAGTTTGCAATGTTTCACCTTTCATCTTTTTCATCCCCCCTTTGAAGGTCTGGACCGCCCTCTCTGCCAGCCCATTAGAAGACGGGTGAAACGGTGCTGACGGGGGGGCGGAGATCAGATAAAATAATACAGTACTATTAGTTATTGGAAATCAGCTGTTTATTATGCGGTTCAAGGGATAAATTCTCCCCTAAAGAGAAGAGGGAGGACACTCCTCAGATGTCTTAACACATGGGACATCATAAAGCAGTACACACACCAAAATCAGATGTTTATTAGGCTGCAGTTTAAGGGATAATTGTCACCTAAAACAAATAAACAAGATTGTCTGAGGCGGTTTGTAAACCTAATGTTGGGGGATCAGCAGTTTCTTTAGTAGGTTGCTTTTTTCTGCAACTCTGTCGATGACCAAGTCATTGTCGAGGGACATGAGGATGTCTTTTTCTGTTGACATAAGCATGAATGCTTCCAGGTGTTCTTGTGACTGTGTGCTCCTTATTCGGCTTTTGATGTGCTTGAGTACAGAGAAACGTCTCTCACAAGCTACCTGTGTCACAGGCAGAGTGAGAAGAAACTTGTATCCTAAACCAAGGAGCTGATAGGCATCTGTGAAGAGGTTGTAGCGTTTCAGAAGTTGGTAGCAACATATTGAGCATTCTTTACAAGAGTTGCACTGTTTGTTTAACACCTCTGTCTCTTCTTCCTCACAACCAGAGCAAATTCTTACTCTGTACTCTTCAAGTGCAGACATTTTAAGCCGTGGCCACTGGGCTGCCAAACACTTCAACTCAGACTGCAAATTTGCAGCAGTTGCCCTGCTGTCAAATTTAAGCAAGCATTTGCTTAGATCTTGAAAAGTAGAGTCAGGCAGAGCTTCTGCTGAACACACTTGGGGAAAGTTTCTTGGATCAAGGACAGCCAAGTCAGCATACAGAGTGCCGTGGGTCATGAAGCGTCGTTTGATACTGTCTGTGACAGTATCCAGGACCTGGTTATGGACCTCTACTTCATAGGCCCTGTTTGCATCTGTCAATCTCTCATCACTTGCCATTTCGCCAGCCATCATCTTCCTTTTCCTGTTCCTCTTCAGTGGAAGTGTTGTTTCCAACTCAAGCTCACAGTCCTCTTCTGCCTCGAGTTTTGCATTTGCCCACTCAACAAAAGTATCAGCAGCTGTCTTCACTGTCATGAAATCTCTTGTCATGTTCATCAGTGCATGTTGAGTGTCCAGAACCATCCTGTGGGCAGACAGGATATCTAGTCCACATGTCTGCAAGTATTTTGAAAGAGGTGTTGTCACTTCAAAATCCGAAGGAAAAGCTGGGCAGTCAACACTGTCTCGTACCTCAGGAGCGCCTCTAAGAATCCTCTTGCTCTGACACGCACTGCAGTTTTCAAATTGGCCTGACTTTGAAATTCACTTAGTGTCATGACGACATCAATGTACAGAGCCTGGTCTGGCTTTCCAAATGAGCCAAAGATCTTCTTCAAGGCTACATCTTTAGCCCACCACCGTGTCTCTCCAATTGGGGAGAGGCGTCTGTGTCGAGTGTCCTGGCTTTTATGCTCCCACACATTCATTCTTTTATATGACTCACGAATGAACACAGCAATGTCATTCATGAGGGAGAAAAGGGACCCACTAGCTATGGACACTTCAGTTGTATCAGACAGAACGAGGTTTAGCACATGTGCATAGCACCAAACATGTACATGGTTTGGGACTTTGGATGACAGGAGTGCGGAGAAGCCTCGATATTGACCCTGCATGTTGGACGCACCATCTGTAGCATTACTGATGCAGTTGCTGATATCCAAATCAAAACGATCCATTACATCTGTCAGCATCTGGACAAAATATTGGCCAGTGGATGCTTCACATTTGACCACTGCCAGAAGCCTTTCCTGGACAGTGTCTGTGACGTATCTCAGAATCACAGAACACTGCTCATGGGACGTAATGTCCTGGGTTGTATCTATTTGTACAGAAAACATACCGCTTTCAGCAACCTCTTTTGCAATGGTCTCCTGAATTAGCCTCTGCACTGTGGAAATGACGTTGTTTACAGTTGTTTTGGACAAGAATGTTACAGCAGAACCCCGACCTCTAGCCTGTGAGTGTGACTGGTGCATCTTCTTACTTTTTTCTGTGCACTCAGTGAGATGTTCTTTCAGACACACATCATATTTTCCAAGAAGAATGATGAGCTCTAGAAAATTCCCATGGTCAATGTTGTCATCATCTAGAGTGTATGCTGCCTCATATTCCTTCCCTCTGTAGCCAAGTCCTCTCTTTCCTATGAACTTTACTACATCTACCACACGTTCCAACACCTGCCGTTTCTTCTTCACTTGATCTCTGTGGGCCACTACTTGTGATCCATGTAGTAGGCTGGCTATGTCTGATTTGGATGCCCTCAAAAAGTAGGCCTCCGCACACATTCTATGCATGATGGTCCTTTCGTGTTCCTCTACTCTCTGACTGATATGGTTCCAGTCCTGCATGCCACTTACAAAGGGATTGTTTTCAGATGGCTTGGCAAATGCTAAACATACTGCACAATACAATGTGTGGTTCTCTTCACAGTATGTGAGCCATTTTCTATCTGTGCCGTTCATGCGTTTAAACAGTCTTTGTACTGTCAAATATTTTGTTTTGGTCTGAGGGTGATAGGAAAAAAAACTATTGAGACTGTGATTGTCAGAATTTGGGCGTTGAAAATACCTCAGGCTTGAGCTGCCGTGTGAGTGGCTGTCATCCTCAGCCCTTGTTCCATCCTCAACCTAGACAATTATAAATTAATGTTAAAAATAATGTTAATTATTTTTATAATACTATACTACTTGAATTAATACTTAATAAATGTTGACAAGTAATACACTTTTGTTTAATCTATACTTTTTTTTAATATTAGTCTATTACACCTACTCTCAGTTTTATTTATTGAATTGCTTACATGAGCAACACACACTAACTGGAAAAACTAGGTTGAATATACTTGTCTTCTCTATAGTACTTACCACCTCTTGCTCTTGCCCTGCACTTGCATGTGCCAGTTGAGCTGGTTCTTCCACCAGCTCAACTCTCTGTCCCTCATGAACGCAGGAGGCTGGCTGTATATATGACATCGCGCCCTCATCATTCTCGTCTTCATCATGCACTTGTTCTAAGCTGCTGGTGATGATAGTGCTTGTAGTTGTAGCAGCACTGCTGCCAAAAAGGTCTGTCAATTTGCGACATTTATTAGCATTACCTGCGAGTAACTTCACCTTTTTTTCTCTTGCCTTCTCGGCCCCACCTTTTTCTTTCCTTTTTCTTAGATTTTTATCCATGTTTTGTCATTCTCCCTGTCTGCTGCGGCGTCTGTGTGGCCGGTCTTTTTTCTTCTTCGTGTGTGATTATTTGACAGATAAGAACCACACAACTGCATTAGCGGCCGCTGTCGCCCTCTGTCGGCCGGAAGCGCAACTTAAATGATGAAGTTAAACCAAAAACAATTAAAGGGCCGGCCGGCCGTCAACTGCCCTTGACCACCGGCCGTTCTGTGGTTCTCCAGATTCTACAGATGGCCAGTCCGCCCCTGGACATAACCATGAACTTGAGACAATATTACATCCTTAGCTGTCCAGTGTTTTATTTTGGCTGTGTCCACGAGTGTGTCATCCAGAAGATCAATCATGAGCACTTGTTCTGCGGTCTCACTCTCTCGCACATCTTCCGACAGCGGCAGTCTGCTTAATGCGTCCGCATTAGCGTTGTTCTTTCCTGATTTGTACACAATGTGATACTCATAGGCACTCAGGTGCACTGCCCATCTCTGAACTCTAGGGGAACCCATCTGTGGAGTGGGTTTCTTTTACGTTGAAGAGAGAGATCAGTGGCTTGTGATCTGTATAGATGGTGAAAGTTCGACCATACAAGTACTTGTGGAATTTCTTGATTCCAAATATAACTGCTAAGCCTTCTTTGTCTAGCTGAGAGTAATTCTTTTCAGCAGGCGCTAGAGTACGCGACATGAACCCCAAAGGACGTTCAGTTCCATCGTCCATTACGTGTGATAAAACAGCGCCCACCCCGTAAGGTGACGCATCACATGACATAATTAACTCTCGGTCAGCAGAGTAATGCACCAACACTTCTGCTGAGTTTAACAGGGCCTTTGATTTTTTAAAAGCCTCTTCCAGTTTCTTTTGCCATGTCCATCGCACATCTTGTCGCAGGAGCTCATGCAGTGGTGCCAATAGTGTAGCTAAGTTTGGCAGAAATTTGTTATAGTAATTTAGCAAACCTAAGTACGACTTGAGTTCAGTAACATTTGTGGGGTTGGGAGCCTCCATGATGGCTTTGACTTTCTTTTCCACAGGGTGAAGTCCCTGTGCGTCCACTCGATGTCCCAGATATTCCACTTCCTCTTCCAGGAAAGTGCACTTGCTCCTTCTCAGACGCAATCCTGCCTCCTCCATAAGGTGCTAACCAGTCCGTTCGGCATGTCCTCTTTGATCCCGTATTGATCCTTGTCTTAATCCTCTTCTTAATCCTCGTCGCCAATAATATGTTGTATCTTGTGATCAATAAGTGTATGTCCACAACATAGGAGTAGATTTAACTGGTTTTACTTTGGTAACATGCTTCCGGGACTTCCTCCTGGGAACATGTACAACAGGCTCTTTTAATACCAAGAGTGAGTTTGCCCCCTGCTGGACAAATGCAATAACATGTAATAATAACACAAGGTAAGATACCACACCCTTTTAGTATGATAATTAGCCTATTATCATGAGACAGACAGCATTGTGTGACTTGTTGAACTGGTTTACCTGCATGTGTGGGTGTAGGTATTCCTTTTATTATGATAATAGGCTCAGCCAGAAATGGCTGGAGTCCGTATGTATGTGGGCGGCTGTGGCTCAGTGGATAGAGTGCTGGACTTCGAATCAGGGGGTACCAAGTTCGAGTCCCACTGCAGTCAGCATGTTGTTGTGTCCCTGGGCAAGACACTTCACCCCAAATTGCTCCTGGTTAGGTTCAGAGGTATTCAGAAACATAACTCTCTGCACCAGGAGTCCAGGATGAGTTGGGCTGTGGGGGAAGTCCAGTGAACGTGAACGTGGTCCTGGCCAGTCCGGAATGCCTGCAGGTGGTACCAGAAGAACACAACTCTGTGGATGAGATGATGATTAGCGTACATTTTCAACTTTCCGGGATGTCCATAGGCTTCTTGAGATCGCGAGTGAATGCTTCCCGCCGCGGGCCATTCTCTGCTGAAGCATACGTTGAGAGATTGCATTGCATTAAAAACATTATGCTCTCTATATATTGTCTTTATTATGCTTTAAACAATGTCTCGGGCTTTGGCTATAGGGCGGCTCAAAGTATTTTGTCCGGCCGTTGTGAAGACTGCTTTGTTTATTGTCCTTGTTTTAGTTTTAAATAAAGCATATTCAATCGAGACATGCCAAACATTTGACGTCATATGACGCGTCACATCTGTGCACAGGGAGCAGGGAGACCCCGAGATCCGTATTCTTTAAATAAAGAGATTTTAGAGCCGCTGACTTTTATATTTGATCCAATTGGTAGATAGGCTGTATTTACGCCATAACGGTGCACAGCTGATAGAAAGGGACACCTACTGGTTAAAGCACGTTATTGCATTTTATAATTTTATTATTAGATATTAATAGGAGGATGTGCAAAACAGACCAACTAATAAGGCTTTATTTAAACATTAAAGAATACTTTAGGTTAAGGTCTTCTTTTGAATAAGAAAAAAGCTTTGGGGGTATAGAAGATGAATATGGAGGGATGAAACCCTCTTTGATGGTCACACATGCAGAGCACACAGCACACACATTGAAATTTGTATCTACAGATAAATATTAAGCCTGACAAAGTACTTAACGTCTAATATATTGCTTTCCCGCAATATTAACTATGTTTAAGCACTTATTTTAACTGATATTATACATATGTATTATACTCTTATAAGATGTATGGAGATAGTATAAGAAATGTGCAGAATATGACAATGTAATGGTGGAGGTACACACATATTGATAGGTGTCTTGTGATGCACTGTTGAGGAACCTGCGACCCAAGTTTTTCATTCATTGCATAACTACACCGTAGTTGTGTATAATATCATATGTCAATAAACCTTAGAAAATCTTGAAATCTTGAAAGGGATGTGCAAAATAGTCATTATATACAGTTTTTAATGTCAATAAACCTTAGAAAATCTTGAAATCTTGAATGGGATGTGCAAAATAGTCATTATATACAGTCTTTAATTAACTATTAGTAGAGAATAACGACGAGTAAAGAATATACTTTATAGGGATCCTATTAATATCTAATAATAAAATAATAAAATGCAATAACGTGCTTTAACCAGTAGGTGTCCCTTTCTATCAGCTGTGCACCGTTATGGCGTAAATACAGCCTATCTACCAATTGGATCAAATATAAAAGTCAGCCAAATTAGTGTTGATACTGCAAGGAGACGTATTGTGTGAAAAGAAATGTAAGATGTTGTTTAATTGCTTATATATTTAAGATCCACGTCACGTTTTCAGTTTTGGCGGCAGTTCTTCCTGTTTGTCCAGAAGTCTTCTCATCAGGGCTCTATAAATACAGAACTACGGCAGATATGTAATATTTAATGCAGCTGAACCGTGTAACCGCTAGACTCTAGCTAATGTATGTAATGTATGGGTGACATATTTAGTCTTGCTGATGTGACATAAAAGCACATTAAAAAAGACACAAGGCGAGGCAGACAGTACTCTGCCGCACTGAAGGGGGCGCACGTGAGCCCAAAGGTTCTTGTTGCTACTGTTATTCTACGCGGACACGGTAAACGCAAACAACAAGCTAGCTAAAAAAAAAAAGTAACAGATTTTTGTCCAGAAGGATAGGTGCATGGACTTCATCTTCAAGTAAAGGTAAGACCACAATTGTATTGAAAATTGAATCTTACTGAGAGAACAATCCAATATTTAAATGAAACTACATTTTTTAGGTATCCTTTGTTGAACGGTCTGTTTAAAATTATTCGAAGCATCAGACTAAAAAAGCTTTTGAAAATAACGAAATATTTAGATTAAGGTAAAAATATAACAGAATATTTCGATTAAAGGGGACCTATCATGCAAAATGCACTTTTGTACGTCTTTTATACATGAATATGTGTCCCCGGTGTTCCAGGGAACTCAGTGTCAGAAAACACAACCCTCTCTATTTTCCTCCATCCCCAAATCTCTAAAAAAAGGGGCTGCAATGGATCTGATACAGACTGATCCAGATTTGAACACTTCTATGTCGTCACAGAAGTGGCGCTACGGCTATTGGGCCAACTCTCCACCTATCAGGGGAATGTGGGGTTGGGCCACGGCCGGCCATTGCCGCTCGAAAGCGCCTGTAAGTGGCGGTGTAGTCTGCCACAAAAGCAGCAAAGAAGACTCCCGCTCATAGTTACCATGGTTACCCTTCTGTTTATTCTCCGCTGTGGCTTTTTTTCTCCCTCCCCGAGGCAAGCGTTTGCTCCCGCTGCTTTAATTCAATGCAATCCCTCCCCGTCGAGGCAAGCACTGTAATTCTCTCCGGTTCGTCCACCAGCAGATGACAAACACCCACCTCTCCGCCTCTTCCAAGGAACGAGGGGACCGTGCGGCAGAGTTTCAGTTTCAGTTTCTTTCGCCGGTCAAGATGTCCGTTAAAGTTGAAATCTTCCGGACAAAATTAGAAAAGTGCCGGTCAAAGGTCTTCTTTGTTATTTATTGAGCTTTAAAACAAATGAATAACGACTCTATATAATAAAACACGGAGGACGGAGATCTCTTTTTCTCCCCCTCTTCTGACAGCCCAGCAGCTGATCAGAGCACGTCTCCCCTCTCCTGCAGGGGGGCGTGGTCAGCAGAATCAGACCCGTAGACAGCAAACAGCACATAGAGCGAAATGAGGCATGGCTAAAATGCATGATCTGTTTGGTATTTTGAAAACAGAAACGTATAAATATACCTTATATAGGTATGGCCCTACAATATATCATTTACATATAGCATGATAGGTCCACTTTAAGGTAAAAATATAACAGGATATTTGTAAATCTGACTCTGAAAGAGTCAGTGCCTCACCAGCCATGAACCTCACTGCACGTCACTGTAGAACACAGAGCAAACTAGCAACATTTGGTAGTGACGTTTGGTGTCAAAACTCAGCAGGTACAGGCCAGTAAGGGACAGGCAGAAAAAGGGAAGCCAGTAGGTAGGAAAGTTGGAATAGTCAAGCAGGAAGGGAAGCAGATCTCAGAAGGCTGGTGGCTTGACTGGGAATCAGACGAAAAAGGCAGGTCAGAGGACAGCAGCGGGAAATTAGGCTGGAACATGAGACTGGACAGTCTTCTTTAGTCCCTAAATTCCACCGGGTCCGTCTGCGGCGCGTTACGGCCGCGTTACGGCGATCGCGGCCACTCTAGTCAATGGGTGCTATTCCACCACACGCGGCGCGTTACGGCTCAGAAGCGTCCCAGAAGCGTCTCGGCGCAGGGCTCCTCTAAAATTAGGATGAATCCTATTTTTGACGCGACACAGCCGTAACGTAATGTCGGGCAGGCAGGAAGTGGAACGTTCAGAGCATATATAGCATATATATAGCATATATATATATATATATATATATACATACAAACTAATTTTGCAGACCCTATCCCTCCGTAGTCTTTCAAGTAGGAGGAGAAATGCCAGCGTTCTCCTCCGGTTTACACACACTGTGTAAATTATATATATAGAATGATTATGCATTTTTTTACCACTAAAACACAGCAACACATCTTTGATTCATGTCGTTTATAACTGGAATATTACAGTTATTATTAACTTTGTCTGTACAAAGTAGCCTGTCCAGGAAATATGCCCAAATCAACAAAAACTGCGAGCCGGCAGACAAGTTATTGTAGCAGACTGTGTAAAACATCATGACTGTTTGAGAACTTCCTAATATAGGCTACTATTAAAATAAAACATCTATACTCTTTTAAACCGGCTTCATTCAAATTGCTGGAGAGTATTGCATGAAAATGGCAGCAGAGGAGCAACTGAGCAGGAGAGGCTTAAAAAGCGGCTTGATTGGAGATGAGATGCAGCTGGGAGCACATGTCAGCTAATGAGGGGGGCTTGCTAGTGGGGTGAGGTTGAGGCGTAGTGAGTGGAAAAGTACTGGAGTGCAGCAGGTAAGGGGAGAAGCAGATTGTGACAACCCCTGCTATAATCAATGTTTTTTTAAATCAATAAATATAAAAGTGATATACGAATAGGTGTAATGTAAAAATAAATTGCTGGTGATTAAACACATGATTATCACCAGACTCTGCAAAATAACAAAAATAACAGCAAGAAACAGAAGCTGAGTGGAAGCCATTTTTCTAGGAAAAGAAAAAAAAGGTGAGTAGAAATGTACGATTATTATATATATATATTTATAGGATTAAGGTATAATTGCAATGGAGTGGTGCAGTGACGAGTCCTAAAACCCGGAAGTGAGTTAGCATTTTACCACTACCGGTTCCCTCGTCTCAGAGTCAATTGGATTTCTCCATAGGATTTTGGAAAATAGCTCAAAATAAGGTCTGTGGTTGACACAAATTTAAGAGACGGATCACATTTTGTTCTACGACATTAAATACATCAGCAGTGACCCCGCTGGTGATTTTTGAAGAGTTTACGTGTCTGAAAAACGATGG